ATTCCTGCTATATTAACACCCAACAAAAGACTTCTAATGAAAATTCACCTTCAACACAGAAACAATTTCAAACAATTGAAACAGCGATTTAATTGCTCATACTTTTGGCTAGCTTGCCTCTCTCATAATCAATGTATCATCCACAAATTGCAAATGCAAAACGGGATATTACTGTATCCTCACTCCCAACTTGAATCCCTTTGTATCTCAACAAATTTATTGACCTGATCATCATAACACTTAATCCCGACTACCATAAACAAAAAAAAAAAGGGACAATGGATCCCCTTGTCTCAATCATTCCCTTCCCTTTCATTACCTCCACTACTTCATTAGAAATTAGAAAGCCATCCAAGATATTTCTTTTGCTAATAGAAGCGGTTTGTCTCAACAATAAGTGAACCTAGCACCTTCCTCAACTCGTTAGTTAAGACCTTTACAAAACCTTTATACATACAACCTATGATCATTGATATAAGCTTAAACTCTCCAATCTTCTATGGATTATGTCTTTGGAATTAATGCAATAAAAGAGCAATTGGACCCTGTATCAGCCTCCTATTTTTGTGAAAGTTTGACATGAAGGCGATGAAATCGAATTTAATCTCCTCCCAAAACTCCTTTTTGAAGTCAAAATTAACTCATCCGACTTGGGACTTTTTTTTTATGTAATTAAAGTTTATATTAAATATATAAATTATATTATAATTAAAATTTGAAATGAATAAACATTTATGAATATATAACATATTTTTTTTACTTACAATAAATAATTTAAATTATGATATAAGATTATTTTTTTAATTATTAATATTTTATTTAAATTGTTATTGAAATTAAATTTATAGACATGAATAATAAAAATTAAAAGGATCAATAATTAATAAGGTTAAATATACAAATAGAGATAAAAAAAATTTAGAGATGATTAAAAAATGGTTAATCATCGAATAGTTTTTTTTTCCGGTAACTATAACATTGGTACGAAGTATCTATCGAAGTAGTAACTAATCTCCATTGAAGATTATGAGTACCACAAGGTAGGTATTTCTCTCCTAACATAGTTTATTCCATATTCAAGACCAGAATTAGAACTATGAACATCTTAGTTAAATGACACAATTCACTACCACTTATGTCAACCAATGTTGATAATCATTGATTAGTTTGTGAAATACACTTTAAAAATAATTAAGAATATTAAATTAAACTTTTATAGTTCTTAAAGTGTTACTTACCGTTTACTCACTATAATTTAAAATATTTTTTTAGTCATTATACTTACCGTTTTCAATTATTTTAGTCTTTATAGTTGAAAATAATTTTTTTAGTCTTTGTACTTACAACTTTTTTAGTCGTTTTAGTCCTTATTAATTTTTTTTATAACGTTATCTATTTTGTGTTGATGCAGTAAAGGATTTCAATTTTGTGAGGGTAAATAAAATGGTGTTTCAATAATGAGCCTCACATGTAAAGGTACAAGAGAGATACGGATAATTGAAAGACTTAATTCAGAGTAACTTTATCAAAATAAATTTAACATTACACACAAAGTTAAATAATATCTTTGTTATGTAAACATAAAAAAAAAGTTACAAAAAAATAATAATAACAAAGATTAAAAAAATTAAAAAATTACAAATATAAAAATTAAATATATATA